AAATTTGATCTTGAGAAGGCTTACGAAAGACTTGACTGGGATTTCATTCGGGTCACCGTCCAAAAGGTTGTAATGAATGAGATCTGGGTCAGGAACATCATGCATTATGTTGAAACTACAAGGCTCGGCATTTTATGGAATGGGAACCAGCTCGACTGGATCACTCCGAGTAGGGGAATCAGACAGTGAGATGCATCTCCCCATATCTTTTTGTTTTGTGCATGGAGCGGCTCAGTCATATCATTAAGGAGCAAGTAAGAGGCAATAGATGGCAAGGGATAAAAACTAACAGGTATGGTCCTACCCTCCCCCACTTATTCTTTGCTGATGACCTGGTTCTTTTTACTGAAGCTTCGCAGGATCAAATTAGTATCATCAAAGAATGCCTTGAACGTTTCAGCAAAGTCTCGGGACAAAAGGTAAGCCTTAACAAGTCCTAGATCTTCTTTTCCAAAAATGTGGATGGACAAGAGATTCAAAGAATTACCGAGATCGCTGGGATTCCTATGACGCCAAACCTAGGAAAATATCTTGGGGTATCCTCATATCTTGGACAAAATAGATGCCAGACTTGATGGTTGGAAAGCTAAAAACCTTACGCTTGCGGGGAGACAGGTGCTAGCGCAATCAGTTCTCCAAGCCGTTCATTTCTATAGCATGCAATCCACCTATCTGCCTACAGGAATTTGGGATGAGATTGATAAAAGAATAAGGAGGTTTATCTGGGGAGGCACTCCGGACAAACATAAATTCCATCTCGTTCGCTGGGAAAACGTTATTAAACCAAAGGAAGCGGAAGTTCTTGGCCTCAGGGCATCTAAAGACGTCAACCTAGCTTTTATGGCAAAAATAGGTTGGAGGATGCTCAACGAGTGCGACAGTATTTGATATGTTCAACCCAAAGCAGGGGGTGTAACACCCCACTTTTCTAAAACCTTATAATCAAATACTTAACTAAAAAAAGAAGGATACTAACAAGCATAGTAAATCTACTAACCATCAATAACAGGTGTCATCGCCACAACCACCATACACGGTGATTGCACAGGCAAATAAAATATCTAAACATCCACAACCTTACTACTTAAAACAAACTTGGGGAATGAAACCCCGGTGTCCAGCACCATAAAAAATCTAGATAAGTCTACAACCAAGTCTCAAAATAAACATATCTGAATAAGAGTTTAGAGTTTAGACTACAACTAGCACACTAAGCTAATCTAGTCTAACTTGGTCGTTCTCAATCATTGGGTCCACCTGAAAGGGGTTAACAAACAAACAAGTAGAAAGCAACCCGTTAGCACGAAGCTAAGTATAACGTCACTCAACCCTGTAAAATACTATAGTATATATTTTGGAAAACATTTGTTTCACTTAGTTAGATCGAGTATTCTCAATCACTTAAGCAACATCTAAACATGCTCAATAGGATTTCTATATGCTTGCAACCTAATTATCAATAGGCATACTTTCTCAATTATTTAGCTTACCAATAAACTCATGCTTGCACTTACATGTCTTATCATGGCGATATACACTAATCATACTCAAACTGATAGTTAATAAAATACTTAAGCTTTAACAAGCAATCTCATGCTAACATATATCTTAACAACAATTTCATATCATCATATATCTCAATAAGCAATCTCATGCTATCACATAACTCAATAAGCAATCTCATGCTATCATATACTCAATAAGAAATCTCATGCTATCATATAACTCAATAAGCAATCTCATGCTCATATAACTCAATAAGCAATCTCATGCTATCATATAACTCAATAAGCAATCTCATGCTAACATATACTCAATAAGCAATCTCATGCTATCATATAACTCAATAAGCAATCCCATGCTATCATATAACTCAATAAGCAATCTCATGTTATCATATACTCAATAAGCAATCTCATGCTATAATATAACTCAATAGAAGACAATATAATGTCATGCTTCTTATCCTACTACCATGCAACACGTGTGAATCATTTAATCATGCAATAAGATGGACATGATGCTTTAGTATAAGTATATATAGATATACATATACACTCTTTCTTTGGTGACAAGGAACACTTGTCCAATGGAGGTTTCTTAGAGTCACAATGACTCGCTTTTCTCTTCTTTCTTTAGAGTCTCATTGACTCGCTTTCTTTCTTTCTTTAGAGTCACATTGACTCGCTTTCTCTCTTTACTTTTACTCGTGGGCGAGGTAGGAACTTCACCATAATGTGAACGGACCTATCTGGGCTCGGCATCTAGCCGGAATAATACTCATCTCGCTCACAAAACCACTCTTTTGGTCCTTTTCTCAAACTCTGTGGAATCAGGTATCGTACTTGTTAGTGTGCACACCCCCTGACCAGGATTCCAAGCCTGGCGGGTAGTATCCTACCTAGTAACTCGGGAATATCGACCTCGTTACTTCACATCGGATCGCAATGTCCGTTTATTTCTTTACTTTCTCTTTTCTTCCGAAAGGACATAGTCCTAACGGGCCTCCAAAACCTCGGATTACTCACACTAGATACATATAGATATAACTCATTCATTTCAATCTCATGCAACAACTTCACTTATGCAAGCTTATGCACGTAGCTTCTCAACAACTTCTCTTTTCTCACAAATTGGAAATCAAGTATCATGCAACTAGATAATAATTTTCCAAAATAGATATAGGTTTTTGAAAGATTACTTAGGCTTACTTTAAGCCACTTATTCACTCTAGTTCATGATAGGCTAAACATGCTCTTTTACTATAAAGAATATCTCAAATTCTCCTTGACTATAAGTCAAGCATACAATAAGCTACTTCATGCTTATAACTTTAATACTTAACAATACTTCTTAGCAAACACTTAGCAAATATTGATCATGATCTTTAAACTCAAACTGTAATTCATGAACTTATTCACAGTAAATAGAAATCAAGCTCTATACATTCTATAATCTCATTTTCTTGGCAAAACTCCTCAACAATTCACAGTGGATACTCAGGCATGCTAATTAAGCAAACTTTGGCAAATAATGATCATATTTTTTAATCCAACAATCAAATAATTATCATGCTTCTCATTCAAATGGCTAAACTCAACATTTCAAAATCAATCTTCACTATAAAACAATTACAGTATACTTCAAGCTATTTCACAACACAAACATCTACTGTAAATCACTCATTCCTACTCCAAATTCAATGAAATCAAATTCTACTAGTCTGTCGTAACAGTCCCGAGTGTCCGAGCCTCAAGGGCCCGCGAGTCCCGGTCCGAACAACACGTAGTTGAGCCACAAGGGCCTGGTCACTGCACTGCTTTGGCCTGGCGGGGCTTGTGGCGGGGATTGAGGAGCGCCGCAGCCTGGATCCGCCAAGCGGTGGCCTAGGGCCATGGCTCTAGCTGAGAGCCGTGCCCTAGGGCCGCTCCTCCAAGGGGCATGCCAACAGTCCCTACCTAGGGCCGTTGGCTAGCTCCGTGACTCCATCTGGTGCACACTGTCTATGCACTAGTGGGGTTCTTCTTCATCTGAAATGCAATTTCTAGCAATCCAACACTCCCAAATTCTCAACAACACATCATAGATCAATAATAGATCACTTAATAGCTCAAACACATCAATAATCTAGCATTTCTACACATTTCAACATTTAACTTGACTTCGCAGAGTTTATAAAAAGAGGTGGGAGTCCATGGGTTATACCTTTGTTGTTTCCTCTTCATGTTGGGATTCCTCCTTATTCCCAAATCAGCTACAACCCCCTTCACCACCTATATTCCTCAAACAAACCATACAACAAGCCTTAAGGGCTAAGTTCTCAGAGATGGAAGCTAAGAATCAAAGAAGCTAGAAGATGAATGGATGGATGGTGGAGATGTTTAAACTTACTGTGATTTCTTTGGTTTCTCTTGCAGAGCTTTGAGATGGGGAAGACAAGGTTGGGAATCAAGAGGCAATGGTTGAAAACATTTCATTTTATAGGGCTCTAAACCCTAGGAGAATCCACAATGATTGGTGGAGGGCAAAGTGGTAATTTGGCTTGGCTTCAAAAATATCAGGCATGAGAGAGTGGAGTCTAGTGGTTCACCAAGCTTCATGGACCAAGGTCTAGAATCATAGTTTAAAATAATTTTGGGATCAAAATGCATTTTTCCAAAAATACTTTCTAGACAACCACTTAGTTTAGGTTCCTCAGATTTCTCCCGGTTTCACTCAGATTGACTTTTGGATCAAAAACTTGGTACGCGATGTACCCAAAAATTTAGGATTTTAGATTTAAAATAAGTCTCGGCGTTGAATTTATTTAAAAGTGGCTCAAAATAATTTATTCAAACACCGACTTTATCGCAAAAATTTTTATAGAGTGAAAAATGGCTGTTTTGGAATTTCTTAAAACCGAATTTATAAAATTAAATTTTGGATTGTCACAGGGGCATCCAATGTTTGGAGGGACATCAATGCTGCTATGCTTCTCGTACAACAAGGGATCCGCCATGCGGTGAAAAATGGAGAAGACGTGAGATTCTGGACTGACATTTGGATTATTGACAGACCTCTCCACGAGCAGACCGCTCTGGACGCCGAGGTTGACGAGAGGGCTCGGGTTTCAAATCTTTGGGACGAATCAAGAGGGTGGAGATGGATATATTGACTAACCTCCCACAAGACGTCAAGGGCCGGTTGGCGCTTATGCAACTACGGGACGAAAACGACGAAGGAACCCTCAGGTATGTTCTCTATCCGTTCAGCTTATAACATGATTCATGGAGTGGTATCGAATATGCAGGACCCAACATGGAGCTACTTGTGGAAACTCAAGGTGCCTACAAAAATGAAGACCCTTATATGGACCATTCTTCATGACAAAGTAATGGGAAATGAAGAGGAGAGGCTTCACTATAACAAGTGATTGTGATTTCTGCCCTAGCAATGAAGAAACCATGCACCACATTTTTAGAGATTATAGAAAAGCTAGAGAAGTTTGGGACGAGCTCCAGATGGCGATGGGCAATAGCAACTCCCATCAACGCAACCTTAAAGGTTGGATCACTCGAAGCATCCGCCCCAGTAGCAAAGGAAACGATGGAATTGATAAATCGAGTCTGTTTACAATAGGGATTTGGTGGATCAGGAGATGGCGCAACAACATCATTTTCAGAAAGGAGGAGATGGACCCCAACAGGAAAGGTGCGTGGATCCTTGAAGCTGAGAAGGAGATTAATCGAGCCTTTCGAAGACAGCACGCGATGAACTCTGAAACAGACACGAGGAAGCTTGAGAATCTTTTCTGGAAACCCTCTGCTGACCACGAATGGACTCTCAACGTGGATGCAAGTGTAAAACATACAACCCAGCAATCTAGCTACGAAGGAGTGCTAAGAAGGAAAAACAGTGAGTGGGTGGGCAATTTCTGTGGCAAATCTAGACACGAAGACGTTGCCATTGTCGAAGCCGAAGCCATTGCGAGGGGCCTTGCATGGGCTTGGAAGGCGGGCTTTATAGACGTTAAGATTCAATCCGACGTTGAGAGAGTCATCAACTGGATATCCGGCGGTATGGAGCTGAGGGGACCCATTTGTGAGCACATTGATGAGATCGAACGATGGCTTCAAAGAAACTAGAGGGTGTCTGATCTCTACGCAGCATCATCCGAGAACAAAATGCAAGTGTGGATGCCTTATCTTCTTGGGGCGTGTTTATGGACAGGACATGGAGAGACATTCCCAACTGTCCTTCTGGAATGGAAGAGCTCATCGTGAATGATAGCTTGCGTGTGTCCTGGTTGCACAGAGAAAGTAGTTAGTTTACCCCGGGGTCCCCCATCCTCTTTGATCCAAAAATAAAAATAAAATAAAATGTTAGATTGTATTGTATATTTTGTGTTAAACTTTTGTATTTTAATATAAGTTTTTGATAAATATTACAAAATATGTTTAAATTTTTATATTTTCAATTAATCCAATTATATATGCAAAAAAAAAAAGGTTAATTTAATTTATAGATAAGACTCCTCCATCACGTGGAAGGCATCCTCTACTATGTATCACTTCATGCACTAGCATTTGTATTACTAACTAATCATACATCTTGGACCTTCTCAATATGACTAGGTTGTCGATCCTCTTTCACTAATACAATCAATACATTATCACCTTCTAATCTCTTACTTTGTAGTATGATTTCAAACTCATATCCTTAGTCTAATTTACTATATCCATCATATTTTGTAAAATTACAAATATAATAGGAAAAATTGTTAACTTCATTCTCTAAAAGTAGCGCTTCATTTAGGTTCCCTAACTCAACAATATAGTGCAATTAGGTCCTAATACTATATATGCAATAAGTTACTATTGATGTGATGTTGTTTGGGCTATATACTTGTTTAAAATGTGGCAATGACTTTTTTGATAAATTAAACAACTTTGAATGAACAACTAATATTAAAATTAAAATACCAAGCAAAGACATGTTGTCCCCATATGGGATTTTAATTTTAAGAGTTAATTCCACTTTTGGTCCTACATTTATTGGGCATTGGACATATTTTAACCGGTTTAATTAATTTACCCACATTGAACCTAGACTTTTCTAAAGGTGGACAATTTAGGTCCATCATTACATTAGCTGTTAGATAGCCGTGAAGTCGAAGGGCATTTACGTCCTTTCAAGTGTTAGTCTTCCACAGCCTTCATTTGTTGACTTTTATTTCAAGAATTAACAAATGTGCAGGATGCCGGCCAACAGAATGTGCAGGATTTTCGGGGTCGGATGGACGAAAAGCTCCTTCCAAACCCCCTTGCCGCCGCTCATCTCCTTCTTGATTTCCACCACGTCGTCTTTGCAGTCCGTCGGAATGCCCGCCGCTTCTTTAATATCCGCTAATCTCTGTTGGGATTCTTCCCAGGAATCAGAAGTTTTGTCCAAAACTTTCTTGGCGTCTCGGAGGCGGCCCTGCATCACCAGCCACCGCGGCGACTCCGGCATGGAGAGAACGCCGACCGCTAATATGGCTGCCGGAACTAAACCTACTCCCAACATCAATCGCCATCCCAAGTGTAATGGAAGCCTTGCAAAAGAGTAATTTGCAACGAATCCAAGTAAAACACCAAAATTGATGAATACTTCAGGGAAGGAAGTGAGGAAGCCGCGGATGGAGGCGGGCGCCACCTCGGCGGTGTACACCGGAGCGATCATCAGGGCGTATCCGACGCCAATTCCGGCGACAAAGCGACCCACCATAAGGAAAGAGAAGCCGGTGGCGAAGCCCATCAAGAGTGCGCCGACGAAGAAAATGCCACCCGCCAAGACGATGGTGTAGCGGCGGCCAATCCAGTCGGAGGTCCGCCCCGCCAAGGCGGATCCGACGAGCGAGTAGATGTTGATAGTTCCGATGAGGAGCTCCACCTGCACGTCGGAGACGTCCAGATCCTTCTTTATATAAATTGATGCTCCACTCATCACTCCTATGTCATAGCCAAGTAAAACGGAAGTCATGGAGGCCAACATGGAGCAGGCTAAGGCATATTTGTTCCGTTTTGGTTTCTTGGGAGGGTCTTCGTGGACCGCCGCAAGGAGTGGTGGACTGGCCAGAGAACATGAAGAAGAAATAAAAGTCAACAAATGAAGGCTGTGGAAGACTAACACTTGAAAGGACGTAAATGCCCTTCGACTTCACGGCTATCTAACAACTAATGTAACGATGGACCTAAATTGTCTACCTTTAAAAAAGTCTGGGTTCAATGTAGATAAATTAATTAAACCGGTCAAAATATGTCCAATGCCCAATAAATGTAGGACCAAAAGTGAAATTAACTCTAATTTTAATTAATTTTTAGATTACGTTTATCCATGTCACGCTCTTTTACTTTTAAAGTTGTCTACTTCCTCAAATCATATTAATAGTAACTAGTTGAATATGTAATTTCATAATTCAACTATACTTTTGCATGTTCATTATTTAGATTACCTAACTAGACTTTTTGTAATATAATATAATATATTTTTTTATTTTCATGTGTGAAATTTATAAAATGGCGTAATTCACAAATTTTGGAAGAAAAAAAAAAAAAAACTTGTTAAAATATGCGGACACACATATATGCACTTGATTATTTGATATTGTGACACCCAATAGGCTATAAAATAATTGATTTTGAATGCATATGTTGCATGGCATTCTTGTAGTAGTAGTTTTAGTTGATCTGAGCAGATAGAATGTTCCTTTCAATGTGTTGGTTGAGTTTGTGGCTCATGTTTCTTGTCAGACTGCACCCTGCTGGTTAAGCAACACCTAACTCATAAGGCATCGCCATTTTTTTAATATTAAATTTGTGATAAGAAAAACTCACAATTACTATTTGATAGTTTATACTGAATAAATTTTATTTTGTAACTTTAACCGATAAAGGGTTACACAAAGATAACCTAAATTGTTCATATAGCTAACCAGTTCAAATTAAACTTAAAAAATTAATAGACGATCCTATTAAAAAAAAAAAATTTGAACCTTTATAATTACGTACAAATCAATACTTCCAAAGATAATAGGAATTGGAATCCGTCCAACATACACGTCTGCACAATTATTCATAGAACAAAATTGCAACAGTTAATTAGTCAAGTGTTTCAAAAGTGCATTGCCACCCTCATACCAATTACTCAAGTAGATGAAGTATAATATTTATATTAAAAAGTCATGAGTTTGATTCTTACCTTTCTAATAAGTAATAATATTTATCTCTCTTTGTGTGGTTTACGGTGCATTAATTTCTCTTGTTACTCAAAAAAAATTAAATAGAACTATCAAAATAGGCTTAACTCGGGCTAGTCCATCACCCGCCAAAAGGGCAAGACGTACTCTAGTGAGCTTTTTAGCCCGGCCCCACCTAACCCACAGACTAGACGGGGTGGGCTGATAGGCGAGGCGCGCTTTGGCGGACTCGTCCCGGTGGCCCATTTTGAGCGGTGGTGGCAATGGCGATGGTGGTAGTGAGGTGGCGGTGGTGGTATGGTAGTGATGGTGGTGGTGGTAGTGATAGTGATAGTGGTGGTGGTGTAAAAGTTGAAAAATAACTTTTTAAAAAAAAATGAAAAGTTATTTTCTTCCAAAACAAACATATTTTTCAAAGTCAACGGAAAATGATTTCTGTTAACTTATTTTTCCAGGCACATCAAAACATCGGAAACCTAAAAAATGATTTCCAAGTTTCCAAAACACACCCTTAATTTGAGATAACCTTATTTTGGTATTGTGTTTAAATTTTTTTTGAAAGTATAAAAAAGAATACGGATTTAGAATTATTTAGTAATTAGCGATGTTGTAACGTTACGGCAAATCGACGCTATATTTACAGCGCGTTTGGTTCACGGAATGAATTTGGAGGAAATAGGAATGCTATTCCACATGGAATGGAATAGGTAAGGAATAGAATAGGAATTGTATTCTGTTGTTTGGTTGGCTGAAGGAATAGATTTTAGTAATTGTATTCCAGTGTTTGGTTGGTTAAAGGAATAAAAATGGAATAGGTTTTAAAGACATAAATACCCTTATACAAAATAATAATAATAATAATAATAATAATAATAATAATAATAATAATAAATATGATTATGTTATACTGAATGTTATATATATATATATATATATATATATATATATATATATATATATATATATATATATATGCATGTGTGTGAGAGAGAATAACAATAACAATAATAATAATAATTATTATTATTATTATTATTATTATTATTATTATACAAATACATATTTATTTTTATATTTATTTTCTCACTTATCCCATATCGGTTGGAGAAGTAAGAAATGGAGCCTTGAGGCTCCTATAAAAGGAACCTCAAGGCTCCATAATTTCAATTGCAATGCTCATCCGCTAGGCAAGCTTGCAATGCCCATCCGCTAAGCATGCAGATGAGCAGACTACTTAATTTAGGAGCTAAGGCTCCATAATTAAGGAGTCTTATACAGTTAATTTATATATATATATATATATATATATATATATATATATATATATATATATATATATATATATATATACACACACACACACACAAATAATTTATTTAAATATATATATATATATATTTATTGATAAATTGATGGATAAAAATTATAATTAATTAAATATATACATTTATATAATACATTATATTTATTAAATAAATATAAATATTATATAATGTGTAAAGGGTATTTTTGGTATTTGTGATATAAAAGCTATTCCCAAGGGCATGGGAATAGCTAATACCAAGGCCCCCTAGGAATGACTATTCCCCTTGCGAAGGTAATAGCCCATTCCTAGGTATGCTATTCCCATGACAAATTGATCCAACCAAACGATGGAATAGGTCTATTCCAAGGAATGTTATTCCATTCCTGACCTATTCCATGAACCAAACATGCCATTATAGTATACGATTCGGTTGGAAAATGGACGTTTAAAGGGCATTATTATTTGCAGTTTTCCACCGCCCTGTTTGAAAAGGAAGTACACTAAATACGCCCCTCTGTCTCTCTCGGTTTCGTCCCCAATCAAGCAAGAATCGCCGTTGATTTCAGCTCCTGTAAGCTCTCTTTCTCTCACTCTCTCTTCGATACGCTGTCGTTTTAGCGTATTACCGCTGCTCTCATACGATTTTTCATGCTTCTTTTCTCAAAAATTTCCAACTGAAGTTTCTGGAGTAGTAATTAAGCAAGTTTAATCACATATATGTTTTTCTTTTTGCTGCCTTGATTCTCAGTTTTTCCTTAAATTTTTTGTTCTTATATTCTCACAAGAATGAATGGAAGCTCCTGATCTTTTTCAATGGTTGTACTGATTTCAGTTCGTATAGGTATTTGGTCTGTCAGTTTTGCAGTTACAGTGATCTACTATTGCAGTTGAATTGGGGGAGAAGAGAGAGAAGTAGAAATGCATTTTGAGCTGGTGGATATACAGCCTCGGGAAATCACATTCACATGTAAGCTTCCATTTTTTAGATCAATTTTTTTTTTTTTTTTGAGAATTTTGTGGAATGCTGCTACTAGATGAAATATGACATTTTTGGTAGAGTGATTATGATATGAATTATGAATTTATGATTGTGGTGGTGTTTGATAAAGATATGTAACGCTACTGTGTGCCCTGGTGCATGGTGCTCTATGGTAATTGGTTATGACCTTTGCTATGGATAAATTATGATTCGCTTTTGATTTTTTAGGTACAAAAGAACACTGGACATGTTGCAAAAGTTTAGAAGCATGGGCACTTCTCAAAGAAGCCAGACATATTCTATGGCACCCCCTTTTTAAAGCTTTTTGTTGTCTAATTATTTTATTTAAAAAATTAGCTGGACATGAAATTGAGATTTAAACTCATTTATTAGTCAATTACTCATTAAAGGCCCAAAAGCTAGGATTTTTTTTTTATTTGGGTTTTCTTGCTTATTCTTTGTTATATTCTTTGTTATAGTACTTTTTTTTTTAATGTTACTGGCTCTATTACATTGTACCAATAACGTCTCCACTGAGGCTCGAACTCACAACCTTCCAAATGAAAGTCCAACTCAGGTACCATTAGACCACATAGTCCTGGTATTCTTGCAAATTATTGTGTGGACCATGAATACAAAGTGCATTTTTAATATATTAAAATTATATTATTTTTGTAGTGAATGTACATTATTTAATAGTATATAAAATAATGTATTTTCAATACTTAATAATGTATTTTTAGTATATTAAAAATGTATTTTTTTATTTATGGTCCACACATTTGTATGGACCATGGTCCATGTAATAATGTTTGGTAATTTCTTCAACTGAATTTCTGTTGTATAACAACACCAACATCATCAATAATAAGTGCATAGTCTATTTGAGCTTTCTTAAACCTGCTTAGGTTAATGGTTACTTGGTTTTTTCCATGGTGTGTATGCATATTTTTCCTAAATTTACAGGCACACATATTTTTGTTAAAGAAATAGCACCAAAGTATTTAGTTGGTGTATGAGCCGATGCAAATGAGGTGGTTCAGTGTTTAGCCTAATGATAAGCTCAGATATTTGACCCGTTTAGAATCCCATCTCATCCCATTCCCTTACAAGTTACAAGTACCAAAAGAGGGGGGAAAAGACACATGACAACGTTTTTATATTTTATGAACATTCTTAGTAGCTTCTGCACTTGCTTATGTGCCTTTATTACTCTTGATTTTACAACATATGTGGAATCATGAACTTATAGCTGTTTAATTGGCTTTCTACAGTTGAACCGAGGAAGCAAAGCTCATGTACCATCCATTTATTCAATAAGACCGATAAACATGTTGCCTTTAAGGTAAATAGATTATTGCTAATCAACAAGCATTAGCTTACAATTTTCTGTTCTTGTTTTTTCATAACATCATCACTGATTATTTGCCAGGTCAAGACCACTAATCCAAAGAAATATTGTGTCCGACCAAACACAGGAGTTATTAGTTCAAAGTCATTATGCGAATTTAAGAGTAACTTCTTTGCACCTTCAACTTACTACCTTGTTGGTTGTGACACTTTATGTCTGGTAAACAAAGAATTGCAAATTCGGTTCATATTATATCTTGTTAGTTGTGATCCTTACAGGTCTTAGGGGCCCTTGTATTTGTGTGTGTTTTTCTTTTAGGCACAGTCTCATTAAATTATTTTTACAAAAGCATGCAAAGTGACTTAGCTGGTCAGAATACTGATCATCCGCCAGCATGTACTGCTTAGTGAGTATGCAGTAACTAGAGCATGTAGATTTAACTTCTTCCGATTGTATTATTCTTTAGTTGTTCATTTTTGAATTTTGATAATGGAGCTATAATAGATTTAGGCCTTCTGGTAATGTGCTTACATTGTAGTGGGGTTTTGTAGTTTTACTTTCAGTAGCAGAATATAGTAGAGCAAAACCGATCCAGGATTAGATACATTGGCAATGAAAAGTAGTTAAGAAAAAATGTTATAATGTTTAGTTTTTGTTTTAATTTGGGCTTTGTATAAATTTGAAGATGCACATCCTTAATCTTGGTAAATGTATTGATTTTTAACGAAGAGCTAACCAACTCAAGTTTTTTATTTGAGCAACTTGAGCCTTAACATAAAGTTCACTTCTCCTTTAGATGTCACATACAACGCTATTTATGATAGCAATAAAACTACTACTTCAGGAAGCACCATTAAACATGCATGGCTTTTGTTACTGGAGTAGTAGACTTGTAATAATCAATTTTTCCTTTATCTTCTGTAATTGATGATCTGCAAACTAGTTTACTGCTTACATGAAATGGATTACCTCTACCATTTGATTAGATCTGCTTCTTCTAAACATTATGTGTGCACACTAATGTTTACAATTTAAAATGGTGAGCACAACCATTGTTGTGAAAATTGCTATTTCTAGTAAGAAATAATTGGCCACTCTGATTGTTATGAGTAAGTTATTTTCGTACTTAGTCCTGCACTAATGAATTTCAGAAATACTGTTTATCTAGTAACTATGCAAGCACAGCGGGAACCTCCTCCCGATATGGTATGCAAGGACAAGTTCTTAGTTCAGAGTAAAGTTGTTCCAGAGGAGACATCTGATAAAGATATTACCTCAGAGACAGTATGTATACCATAGTTATTATATCTCTTATATTTGTCGGCGTTCTTAGTTAAATACATAGTTTTGCTCTGAATTTTATGAGCAATTATTGGTTTTTTTTTATTCATGTTTCTCAATATTTACATATTTAGTTTTCTAAAGACGATGGCGAATATGTCCAAGAGAACAAGCTAAGGGTAATTCTTGTAGATCCACCCGACTCACCTGACCTATCACCAATAAATGGAGCACAGAGTCATCCACCAAAATGTTTAGAAGATCTTTCTGGTGGTGAAGAAACCCAAATTCCACAACAAAAGGTAAGTAACTTTTCTATAGCTAGAATGTATTGGAATCAGATATCTATGATGGAATCCATTGTTAAATCTGTGACTTGAGAGCCTAATTATCTATCTGTTTTCTCAGTCGTGCTGCTTGAAACCTTCCATTTTTTTTTCAGCCAGCTGAGGAGGAGTTTAAACAGGAAAATAAAGAGGATCCAGTGAAAACAAAAGATGTAGAGATTGAAACTGCAAAGGATGTAGAAAAGGTGGAATTTGTTGATGAGATCAATACAATGAAGTCAAAGTTGAATGCACTAGAGCTTAAACTAAGCGAGGTTAGAATTCTTCTTGCCTTGTTAATGTTAATTCCTTTCTATGTGTTGTATTGCGTGGGATCTTATAGAATTTCTTTGAATCGGCAAGTTCTTCCTGTACAGTAGGTCTTACACCTCCTGATATGATTATATTTTTGAAAAGTGGGTGCATTTGTCGCTTACCCACTTTAACATGTTACTCACTCTTGTTATGTATTAAGGGATTCTAGTTTTAAAATGTAGGCTGAAGCAACCATTTCAAGGCTGACACAGGAGACGAGGGGGTCTGCTCAAGAGAAAGAAAGCTTACAAAGAGAACTGGTAATCCTATAAAATCCAATCTCTGATGCTTTATAGTCCTCAACTTTTTCTTTTTTTTGTCTTTCTCCGTCCGTCTTACCGTCTGGACCCACCCGACTAATCAAATCCTCGTTCTTGCAACATGTTTCCTTGTGCACGGTTTTGACCATTTTCTGGGATTTGCAGGCGCGATTGAGAAGTAGGAAAGGCGTGAGGAAAGTGCAAGTTGGATTTCCATTGCTGTATGTGGTTATGGTTGCTCTCATAAGTCTTGCACTTGGATACATGTTTCACCGCCAGTAGAAGTAGTTCCCATATGTAGCTGGAGTAGCAGCAGCAGAGAAGTTATAAATAAATATTTTTACATGGAGTGACTGTATATTAATATTGATACTAATATTAATGTGTAAATACTCTACTAAACCTTAGCACACTGTATTGCTTAGGGAAAATTATTATTAGGTACATGATAGCATGCATAAGTGTACCATGCTAATAATGTTCCGATGCTCTGTTGGAAATCCGACATTTTGTCATACAATAAAAATAAATAAAAAATAAAAAAAATAAAAAAAAAAAGACTATATTTTATATAGGGCATTCTTTTTTTTTTTTTTTGTTAAACCACGAGGTGTCCTGTTTTCTGACTTGGACCCTATTTGATAAAATATTTAATTTATCAGTGTCCTGTTTTTTGATTTTATCAGACTATGACCCTATTTGATAAAATATTTAATTTATCGGTGTCCTGTTTTCTGACTTTATCAGACTATGATCCTATTTGATAAAATATTTAATTTATCAGTCAATTTTGACCTATTTGACCACTATTAGCTCTTTGACTTATTTAAAAAATCAATATAAATGTTTAATTAATTAACTTTTTGTAATTCAAAAATGTTAAAATTCAAAAAGCTACTAATAGGGTTAATTATTTGGGCTTTACACCCATACGTAGGTCGATCATGGATTTCCAGAACGAGGTGGGTCTGAACTGATCATCGAGGGTCTATTCAGTAGGCCTTCTCAACCCCACTGCCCACCAAGCTTCACCAAAGGGATTTGGGAAGGACTCCGAGACCTCGGCCAAATCCAACCTATCTAGGTCGAGCCGACCATCAAGCACCTTGTAGCAAAGCGAAGTGCTCAAAAGAATCTTGACACACAGCCAAGGCCCCATGGGCCGCAACCTGGGCCCGTGCATGGAGTCCATTTGCTCAGCATGTCATCAACCCAGAATTTGTTTCCTAACTGTTAAGGAATATATATTTGATATATAGAATCTCTATATATTAGGCAGTTTAGGGTTTTAGGTAGGTAAGACATATGGAAACTTGTTTCCTATTCGTAGTTTTCTAGTACCTATTTATAGGGCTTTGTATTTTCTATTCCTATGAGAGTTTGATATAATATATGACAGCACATTAGAAACTCTCTCTCTTTTCACTTTCGTAACATGGTATCAGAGCCTTTACGATAATTTTTTTTTCCGCTCCGTTGTCGTCACGTTTTGACTAGCGCGTGAGGCTCCTCCAACGATTAAAAAATGTTTTGGTCAACTTGTCCTGGGTCGCCTAAGTCTGTTTGTCTTGATTTTGGACTTAGTTTGGACCATTGCCTTTTGTTCTACGGTCAGTTTGTCTCGGTGCTGTCTCGTTTTGTGTATTGGTGTTGTCTTGTTTTGGTCCTATCTTGTTTTGTTGCTGCCTCGATTTGGTGTTATCTCTCTTTCGTTTTGATGTTGTCTCTCCTTTTTGATGCTCGTTGATTGGAGCATGCTTCCCTTTTGTTAGTCTAAGATACTTCCCTTTTGCTAGTAAAGAATTTGTGTCCTCCAGTTTGGAGTTTGTCTTCTTTACTTTGTGTGTCCAAGCTTGTTCGGTCCACTTTTGGTTCACCCGGAGTTGCGGTATTGGTGGAGTCCAAGCTTCTGGTTCAGGGGAGGGTTCAATCCTAAGCTTGTTCGGTCCACCACGTTGAGTTCACCCAACTGTCCGTAGGTATTGGTGGCGTTCACAGCTTTCGTTTCAGGGGGAGTATCCAATTTCAAGCTTGTTCGGTCACTTTGTGTTCACCCATTGTTCGTGGGATTCGTGGCGTTCGAAGCTTTCGTTGGAGGGGGAGTATGAGTATCCAATCTCAAGCTTGTTCGGTCTTCGGTCAAAGGAGTGTCCTAAATGGACTTGAGTCATTAGTTATTTAGTTATTTTGGGTTATCACTCATTTGTGTAACAAGTTGGGCATTATTAAAATATATGCTCCAACTTGAGGGGGAGTGTTAAGAAATATATATTTGATATATAGAATCTCTATATATTAGGCAGTTTAGGATTTTAGGTAGGTAGGACATATGGAAACTTGTTTCCTATTCGTAGTTTTCTAGTACCTATTTATAGGGCTTTGTATTTTCTATTCCTATGAGAGTTTGATATACTATATGACAACACATTAGAAACTCTCTTTCTTCACTTTCGTAACACTAACGACCGCTATAAATACGCATTAATTACTGTCAGAATGGACACTATTTCTACTCTATAGTTTTTAACTCGGAGACCTCTGACCCACTGTCACGTAAACTGTACTATATCCCTTAAACCAACAAGCAAATCAGGTTCAAGAACCGAACCCGGAACTGACTTGGGATTATAGTCTGTATACGATACGCTCCGTATTTACTACATCAGCTATCCAAAACAATTTTTTCAATTAATATCATTTTCTACAATCAACTAATGTTATCAACTAATCATACCCTCTAACAGCTATCAGCTAACCGTCATTTAGCTACCAAACAAAGCCAATATCCCCTTTCCTTTCAAGTGACCAAGTTGTCTGATTTCGTCAATGTATTACTCCATGCATCGTAGGCCCAGCCAAATCACAATTTTGTTCCCGACCAACCAACCTCCAACAACATTGGCAATGACAACCATCCACCACTCAAAAATTGGCCAAAGGAGTCCCACAACCTTAACAATTTTGACAATCTCAAAAATTGTTAATCCGCAGACACAGCACCATTTACAAACAATTACTCCTCCCCTCAACAAAACTCAATCTCGCCCCGAGTCTCATTTTCTTCTGGAAAATTACCCAAAGTATCGTTTGGATCGTCAAATATTTCCCTATCCGGGAGCAAAAATCCATCATCTTTAGGTTTATAGTGTTTTCCCCTCCATATCACAATCTGCTCCTTCTCAAATGTTACCAGGATACAAGGAACCAGTTCCTGCATTCAATCACACAATTCTATCGAATTTTAGAAACATGAATTTCCATTTTATTTACAAGTGTAAATATGCATTATCGTCAATGTTAATATGTTAGCCACCCAATTCACGTCAATCCTAAATAAATATATTCATAGTAACAAGAAATTACATCCAATATAGACCGACAAATTAATCTAGAGTCTTACCCTCAGTTTGCAGCCGATTTTCTTGTAATCGCTCCTTGGAAGTCCTTTACAATCTATCCTAACCAACTCCTCTGTCAGAAAAGCATCCCGAACCATGGGTACAAGACTAGCATAATAGCCATTCTTAGCTGCATTACGCCCTACATGTTAGATACAAACTCAATAGCCTCTCTCGAGAATGAAAAGATAAAACTTACCGAGTTTTGTTAAAGCGGGAACAGCTAATCCTCTTTTTCTCATTTCCTTGGTTTCCTCGATGCTCAAGCCATCAATAGTAGTTTTTATAAGCCTTGGATAAACGGGTTCATGAGGTTTCCATAACATTAATGGAATCACCGGCCTCTTCTTCCCATCATAATTCCTCCCTCTGTATAGCACAATCGAACCACCATGTCTCTGGATGATCTTACCAAACGTCTTATCCTGGAGGATGCAAAATAAAGCGCCTTCACTAATAGTAAACACCAAAAGAACACGACAAAACCTTCTTACAAGCATTTTGCAGTTGACCATGAAAAACAAATAAATAAAGGCTGCCATTTTCAAGTATCTTACTGATGAATACTGCGAATGGCGAAGAAGCTAAGTTTAGATGAGGCTCGGGAGGATGAGAAAGAAAGACGATACCTCCAATTGAGAGCACACATTCTTCATATTAACAGTGGGCACTCCCATACACTTTATTCTGACAGCCTCGGAGTGTTTCCAGTGATTATGAATATCGTTCAACATGTTGTGTGTTAATCCATCTCTACCTACAAACAGAGGCCGATATAAACTCAATTCGGCAACTCATTCAAATATAGAAGTTTTGGTGCCCTAATTGTAGTCCTTCCCCAAACCATTCAATCATTCATGGAATTTAGTTGCAGTTCACTATATTCATGTAACAACACATTAATGATTAATATTGTATCATTTCTGCATTCTCAACTTAATTAATATTGATCATAATTAATTGAAAAAGAAGGAATACCTAAATTGATTTGTCTCTTAGTTCTGTGCCTCTGACACCTCTCAACCAGAGCTTTCCTCTCTGCATTGGACAATGGCTCTCCTTGAATTTTGTGTCTCATCGCCCTCCTCTCTTCCTCCAGCTTTGTCTCATCTTGGGGCGATCCGTGTTTGGGATCAACCGCGGGGGCACATACGCCGGTCCATACCCTCTCCAACCGGCCCGGCCCGAAAGGGGAGTATTTAGGCTCGCGAAGACCAATAGGGCGCACGGTAGGACTGGTTTCGGTGTAACTGAAGCGGAAGTCGAACGGCAAGGTAGACGCCGGCGGTTGGTGGGCGTCCCTGTGGAGAGAGGAGGGTGGGCGGTAGCGGGGCTTGGGGTTGGGCTTCTTTTGGGGCGGTGGGTCCCCCGTGGGGGGTTTAAGGGAGGATGGAGGCACGAAGGAGTATTTGGTGCGCAGTTTGGAAGAAGAGGAGGCAGCAGCGACGTCGGCGGTGGAGAGGAAGTGGCGACCGGAAGAAGACAGTGGGAGTGGGAGGAGGAGGAGGAGGAAGAGCTTTTTCTTGCCGCCGACAAAGATCATTTGTTTCTTGTGGAAAAGTTCTAACTTCTGAAAATCTGATATGAATGAATGATTCTTGTTTTGCTTAGACGCCCATAATATGAACTACGATTAGCGTTTCAAAATACCTACCTATTCTTATTACATAAGAGGACATTAAAATCGCAAATTATGCTGTGCAACCGCTTTTGGTTAAAAAAGGCGCGTCTCATTTAAAGAAGAAATCAGGTTCGATTCTCGGCAATAGCATAACTATATATCCATAAATTCATAATTATATATCCACAGTGAATGTATGAAGTAAAAATCCACAGTGAATGAATGAAGTAAATATCTACAATGAATGAATTAAATATCCACAATGAATGAACTAAATATCCATAAATTCATAACTATATATCCATAGTGAATGAATGAAGTAAATATCTACAATGAATGAACTAAATATCCACAATGAATGAACTAAATATCCATAAATTTATAACTATATATCCATAGTGAATGAATGAAGTAAATATTTTCAATGAATGAACTAAATATCCATAAATTCATAACTATATATCCACAAATTCATAACTATATATCCAGAAATTCATAACTATATATCCACAATAATACTATTGTCGAGAATTGGACCTAAATTTTTTTTTAAATGGGACGCGCGTTTTTAGTCAAAACGACGTCGTTTTGCATCGTATGCACCATGCGCATGGTGCATTCGGTTGCACAGCATAACTATTTCATTAAAATACCTACCTATAACCTATTCTTATTACATAATAATGTTTGGATTAAAATTATCAGTTCACAGAAGCGAAATCTCTCAGCTCAACTCAACCCAATGGCAATTGTTATATTGTAGATTTGTAACTTGTAAGACAGCAATTATACCATAGACTCAGGTTTACTTTACAAGATGAACTCGAATTCATAATACACAATTAAATTAAGAGTAATATTACATGTACTCCCACATTCTATTCCATTTTCTACTCCATGCTTACATGTCACTTTTTTATTCAGTCAATACAATGTGGGCCACATTTTTTATTGCTTTATTTTCATCCTCCTCCAATAAAATGAAGACACGTGACGGGAGTTTTACTCCCTTGGAGTACATATATACCATCAAAGCTCGTGCACACAATAACATACTTACATGCACACTGGCCATACTACCAACAATATCTGGGATTAGGTCGTGCACACATTAACATACTTACATGCACACAGTTTGTATTTAAAGGGAGTTTCTATTTGAAAATAATCCTATATATATATTTTCCTTAAATTAATTTCTAAAATGGTTCTGGCCTTTTCTTAAATTAGTTCTTTAATTTTTAATTTCTCCAAAGTGATTCCATGTTGTATATTTGAAAGAGGTTGACCTCCCTGCTTCTCTCCTAAGTTAGTGTTAAAATGAAGGATAAAACTGGAAATTTAAATTTTGCATTCCAATTTAAAGCAATCTGTAATTCCTTTCAGCAGTCTGCGCAAATATTTCTTTAAATTGAGTTTTTATTTTCATAAATCTACAATCAAAATGTGGATAATCAACTAGAAGGCCAAAAAAGTTCATTTTCAACTTTATCTACAAACTTCTCAAGGCAAAAATTTCTCACCTTCTAGTTGATTATCTCACATTTTGATTGCAATTTAGGAGAGTAAAAAAGAAATATGTGCACAGATTGCTAAAAGGAATCACATATTGTTTTAAATTGGAGTGTAAAGCCTAAATTTTTAATTTTACCCTTTATTTTAACGTCAAAACTAACGGATGACCATTTTGACTTAAAATTCAAAAGTCATAAGATCATTTGGAAAAATTAAAAGTCAATGGACCAATTTGAAAAAAAAGATCATAGTTTGATGACCATTTTGAAAATTAACTTTACACAATTTACATACTGAATATTTACAATTTACATGCTAAATATTCACAATTTGAATTATAAACATTTATTATATAAATTGTATACATAAATTGTGAACATTATATAAAATTATGAACATTCAGTAAGTAAATTATATATTTTTTTGATCTGGATCCTTATAAGACTCAGATCCACATAATAATTTGTCTATTGCAAATTAAATTCATCATACGTATGATATACATTGTCTAAATTATAACATATGATGTACTTATAAGTACATAAAATGTTAAAAGGATAAATCACGATAACTTGGCAGCCCATTAGTATACCCCACAAGACATAACTCAATCCTATATCCTTAGTCCAACCTGACACTTTGAAGTAGTAGTTGGAGGATATGAAGAAAATTATGAAGCAAAAGCATACATCATACTGCAGAGTACCACTCCAAGTACTGAAATACATAATAATGCATAGAGAATGTGCATCTCATAACCCACACAACACCAAACCAACCCAGCAGTCCAAGGAATGTACATCCAAAGAATGTACAACAACAACCACAACCAAAATAATGAGATTCAGATACATCAGACCAAAAATATCACCACCGACTGTTGAGGCTGATAAGTGAGGTATGACTATTCTAATACGACTCGACTCGACTCCTATCTGTACAAAGATCTGCCAATTTTAGTTCCGTCCTCTTACATAATTGCAGCCAAACCAATGGCTTCTCCTCCATCAGCTTTCGGTTCTTGAGTAGCAGTCGTATTGCGAGGCCTCACTGAAATATATTTGTATTACCAATAAAAAAAGGTCAGATAGATAGATATCGCAATTCTACCTTCACAACACTTTAAATCTTCGTTTTCCTTGAGAAAGAAAGAGATTCTAACACAATAATAGTTCAAGGCAGAGAGTTGAGTTGAATAACAGTATTATGGTTGAGAGCGAGCACTAACTTGACACATTGGTGATGACATTCACAGCTTTCTGAGCGGCGAGTGCTTTTAGCTTGTTTCCTGTTGCTAATAACAGCAAGCTTTTCATATGCTGTTTCTGTTCCTTGGGACTACTGGTTTTCGTCAAAGCTTCTTCAAAAGCATGGAGGTCTTGGGGCGTAATCTGAGGAAGAGACAGTATAATCTGCAACGATAAAATCAAAATATACTTTTAGCTTGCTTATTTGCACAAGATTCAAATTAAAATTCACAATAAATTATTCTGATACTGCCATGCGATATCTCTCAAAATTCAAAATAAAAGCACACTTGAGTGAGGGATTTCACTAACCTGTCTTGGTGCCGGATGTTTATCAGCGAGATAAATGAAGATTTCACGACAATGCCCAACTAAATCGGCACTTATAAAAGCATTGGACTCGAGAGTTAAACCTTCAATGAGTGCAGAAAACAGATCCTTACAAACAAAATCTCTCAATTCCACATTATTATAATTTGTTAAGATGGCCAACACAATTATGGCCCCACAGAAGGCAGAAACTTTAGCTACAGATTCACCATCACTCCATCTAAAAGCCTCTAAACTGATCTGCAAACCTGGGACCGCAACAATTTTGTGTTTCAACAGAAATCTGCAAATGAATCACAGTATCAATAAAAAACGAGGTTCACTTTAAGTATTAAATAGTCATCCGACTATCTTCCAGGACATGAAGACACAAATCATACATACCCAACCATAGAGCTCGGTGCAAATACATCCAAGTCTTTGACAGTTGATTCATCCACCCGATTTGCATGGACAAATTGGTCTAATGAAGGGAGTCCAGGATTCAAACTTGGCGAAGCAACAGCAGAGAGCAGCGAACAAATTTCTCGTGTTAAATCTCGAAGAAGTTTTTCTTCCATTACTTCCACTTTTAAGTCTGATCCAGCAATTATCCCATGTAGATCAGGAACTTTCGCTCGCCCTTCCTGTAATAGGCTAGACCATGAACAACTAAGAGCCTGTTGAGAATGCTGAAGTAATGGCTGCAGTAGCTTTACAAGCCATGCCTCCCAAAGATCTGGAGGACAATTTTTAACCAAGGGAATCAGTATCGAATGAACGATAAGTCTTATATGCCTGAACTCCATAGACTGTATATTTTCCATCAGTGCTAAAGCAACAAACTCAGAGTCTAGGCCTCGGAAAAATGAGTCCCCAAGGGTTGCTGACAAGCCCACCACATTATACCTAGTGAAAAAAAAAAAAAATTATATATATATTTGCATTAGCACAAACTGTATAAGAACCTGAACCATATTAAATATATATGCAAATAATTCATAGAAAATGGATATCTAACAGCATTATATTTCCACAAATAGATTTTAGGAAGAACTTATAGTTGTCTATTTAAGGAATAGAAGATATTTTGAAGGGTTTCACACTTTTGTTTAAAACATTAAGCATAGCATTTCAAAGCTCTCCCTTTTATGAATACTTGTAAATCGATTGATATAGGAATTCATGGCAGTCTCCTTACATCAATTTGGTCACCCCAGTCTAATCATACTATGCTAATTTAAGAAAAATGGACAGATACAGATATAAATAGATAGCCAGAAGGAAAGAAAGGCATCTTCCCAAACTAAAATGACTGCAGTAAAAAAGATTTCAACATAAAAGGCTAAGCATTCAGAACATGAAGATATGTTTTATGTGCTTTCAGATGCCATCACTGTATAGTGTATCCCTTTCTCTACTATCCCATTTTTCACTACTTCCTAGAGAACTTTATTCCTATTTCCTTTTCCTTTCACTCTCCAAAATCCCTACCACTTGACATTGTATGATAACATCAGCATGGCACCCAAAATATATATATACTCCCCTGTAAATAAATAAAATACTCCAATCCTTTCATTTCAGGGTATCAGATTAAACACCCAACGATGTTTCAAAATAGAAGATGCATACCCACTGTCCCTTATGCCTTTCAGCCAATTGCGTATATCAGTTTCATTTGGCTCCGAATAACCTTCCCTGTTTTCAAAAGAAGATCCATCGGTAAAACTTAAAGGCCCTTTTGGCAGTTTGAGGTTCATTCCCCCAAGAAGGCTGCCTCTATCAACATCACTCATAATCATTGCAGCTTTTATTTCTCCAGGTAATGCTTGCATCACAGGTGGTGACCAAAGAGAATGCATAGCTCGAAGCAGCTGAAAATCAAAGAAATGACATAAACAACATTAATGTAATTCAAATAATTTGTTTCAGTAATAGCAGACTCTTATTATAAAGTGCATGAGTAAATAAAAGACTCTAAAGAACTACATGCTTACCTTAAGAAGAGGAGGCAGCATCCATGAGAGATGAGGAGCAATTGGGTGCAGAGAATCTGATATTTGCAAGCTTTGTGAATTTGTATTCCCTTTGCGAGTACCACTCCTTTTTAGAGCCTTTTCAAAAAATGTAACTGTGTGGAAAACAGACCACATAGTTGGTGTGTCTGCACACAATCGAATGAAGCCTGCTGGGTCAGAGAGATATGCATCTTGCCATTCAGTTTGTGTCCACTGCTTGCTTAATGGTTCAAGCAACCAGGCCAAAACTTCTCGCTGCTGTTCCACCCTGCATAAAATTAGAGAACGTGCAGCAAAGCTAAGCAATCTATATATGACGCTGTGTAGATACACAATAAATTTAAGAAAGCAAGTTACCCAGCAGAAGACCCCATAACAAGAAATGCTTCTCCGAGAAGATTATGTTCCCCACGAAGTAAACGGCCTTCTTTCTGCAAATATGCCATTGTATCTGCAATTCCCTGTGATGGAATGCGGAAATGATTTTTAGGCTTCATCAGTATGATAAGCATTAATTCAGCAGAGTTCCTATAATTTAAAATGTACAACAGAATAGAAAATTTTGAATTTTTTATCAGCGCCACTGCACATACAGATAAAACTAAAGGTTCAATTATCATCAACTATAGCTTAATACATGGTTGCTCCTAGAAGAACACATAACTTCAAAAAGAGAATTGCATTAAGCTCCCACATTCCAAGGACACATCTTCAACCAAAATATTCAAAAAACTGAAGATAACCTATCACCATAAACCAAGCAATTTACATAATTAAATTAAAAATAAATTCCTCCCTTGCAATACCAAGAACTAGAACTTGCAAGCAAAGATGAAAAAAATAAATAAATAAACAAATCTGTCAAGTAGAGCATATTCAGCTGGCTAATATAGGTATTGAATTATCAAAGACATCTGTGATCATTTAAAAAAAAAAAAAAAAAAAAAAAAAAAAAACTAAGTCAAGCACAAGATGCTTAGTTCAAATCTGATAGTGCGCAAATATCCTGTATCATGCAGGGATGATCTTCCACAACCACCTTGCAAGTAAATAAAGAAAGATAATAACACTTTAACACATCATTTCTATTTGCGAGATTCTCTCCTCTCATCTGTCCATCTATAATACACAACCTAGCAATAAACTCACTGAGGCATAATTGCAATTCAATTCAATGCGGTCATTCTAACTAAAGGCAAAGTACAAGAATAAAGAATGCAACTTAAAAACAATCTTCAATAAGCAAGGTCAAGTTCAATATAATTGTATAGATGCCACTGAAATTTGAAATTCTATGAAATTGAGGCACTGTCATGAAAGGCGCTACGCACCCATCGGGAAATTGATGGGCACCTAGCGCCTAAGTATTAATTTAAAAAATTAAAAAATTAAATATAAAAACAAACAAACAAACTAATTAAAAGCAAGCCCAATTGCCAAATAGGACCAATTGAAATTTTTTAGGCCTTAGGATTTACACTTTTAAGGGTTGTTTGGTTCACAGAATGTTAGATTCCTGAGAATGTTATTTGGTTAAAATTGAGCAATGTAATATAAATATGTTTGGTTGAGGGTTATCTTTTTATGTTATAATGCTTATTTTGCTTTATAGCCTTAACCTATTTTCATGTATTTCAGAAACTTCAAAATTAAAATAAATAAATAAATAACGCAATGGTAAATATAAAGTAAATGATTTTAAAATAACTAAGACACATGCAATAAGCTAACATAAAATTGATTGGCAACTGATAAGTTGACATTTGACTTGATTTTATCTCCTATTTTGTGCTTTAATTGATTGTATGTTGATGATTTTTGGCCTAGATTGCATCATTAATTGCTTGATTTTGGTTTGTAGGTAATGATGACACAGAGGCGTTAGTGAACCAAACGGGAAATGGGACATTTATTTGTGAGATTTGGAAATGGCGGAGGGTGAAAGGGGCGAAGGCAAGTAGGTTTGATATTGAGATTTGGTTTCTGATTTTTGATTTGTTGTTGTGCGGCCTTGTCAAGCGATTTTAGGGTTGTTTCGCTCGAAACGACGTCGTTTTGAAAGAAACAACCCTTTAAAAAAAATAAAGAAAGAAAATCGCCCAAGTACACAAACTTGGCCATCTTGTCGGCCTAGTCGGGCAGCCGACTAAAATAGTGATTATCGCCTATTTTGTTTCAGCCTAAAGGCGCCTAGCACCTAGGCGGCTGCCTAGGCCGAGTTCTGCAACACTGAATTGAGGCAAGAAATACCAACAGAATGTTGCAAACATTTTCAGGGTTGGAAATCCAAATTGATTGCCTAAACTCTTGGCAAATGGGAAATTTATCAATTTAGTGATCTCAAGAATAAAACTACCATAGTATTGTTTTTCTTAACCCCATTGTAAGCTCATATCAGGATGAACTTAATTAAAGTTAGTACCAATTGATCTTATAAATTGCTATTTTACAGCTAATTATAAAAGGGAAAATAAACATTACTTTCATGTGAGGAAGAATGCTGTGATCTGCTGCTTTGGCTATTCGGATAAAAGAGGTACAAATATGCAATCTAGCGTGTCGTGCAGTACTTGTAGCAGGATCCTGTCAAATAATTGGTCATCAGAACAGTAGTTCTATTTTCAGATTGCAACTAACATTTTAAAGTATATATTTAAAGCTAGGCACACATGTCAACCTTAACAACGAAAGGCAGAGCGGTCAAAAGCTCAAACAGTTTATTTATGACACTGCCAACTGCATCTGGATAATACTTCAAAAAGGGCCCCAATGCTTCTAAATAGTGCCCAATGGCTTCTACAAGTGTCGGTTCAGTCCATTTCAAAGAAAGAAGTTGCTGAAGTAGACCTTCAATTGAAAAGTAAGCCAGTTATCAGCACAAAGACATTCATTAAAAGTTTCAGAAGTCTAAAAGAAGTTGACACAAAACCTTCAAATATTCTGCACAATGAAATTTGGACATCAGAACTTCTCCTCTCAAAATCATCAAAAACTGCATTTACAACATTTTCTAGAGCCAACTGCATGCTTTCAAGAATAGCCAATTCCTGGATTAAATACAAATAAGTAGATATAAATAACATGCACACACACATAAAGTAAACCAATAATATTAATAGTCCTAGTCCAAGGCTAACAATTATCATTTGAAACCAACCTGTGCGGGCACTGAGATAAGTAGCATGCTTTTAAGAATTGCCATTATTCTCTCAGAAACCCTAGTGGCAGCTATAACGGGCTTGTCAGATGCAACAAAACGAATCAATTCCAACTGCATCAAGGATTGGAGATCAACCAAGTGAAATATAAGATATCATGAAAGGTACTGGCCTAGAATGGGGGTGGGGGTGGGGGTGGGGGTGTTGGCTTGTTGGATATGGATATAAACATACCAGCCTAGAACGGTACTGGCCAAATTCTCCTTTTCCCTCAAAATCATCACTCCACAACTCTAATGCCGCAAGAGAGAATGAAGTTTGAGGATGAATCTTTTCCTTCCTGAGCAACCGTTGGAATGATATATCCAATATAGAGCTACAAATTTCATCATTTACAAAAGTCAATTTTTTTTTCTTTTCCATGTCAACACCTTCTGATACTGCACCTGTGTTGTTAACAGAACTTTCCCCAGATGCAATCTTTGGCTTGGAAAGCAAATCTCTCATTAGTGCCTATTATAGAAAGGAAACATGACAAGAAGGTCAGAAGAAACATAGAAGTAATCAACAAATAGTCAAAATAGAGTGTTTTAGATACATACCAGCCAAAATAAAAGAGATTGATAATGAAGTCCAAACTTATAGTGTTGGAAAAATCCGAGCATCTGAATCATTATTAAAGAAATAATATTCCATTAAAAAGGTTGGTCAAATTCCTATTTACAACAAGAAAAAAAATTAAGCAAGAGTTAATATCAGTTTTGGTCCCTCGATTATAGAGGCCCTTTCACTTTCAGTCCTCTGACTATTAATTTGGAAAATTTTAGTCCTTTGAATTTTTAAATCAACCAAATTTAGTCCAAATGTCCAAAATGCCATCACTTGTAGAAGGGTGAAGTTTGGTAATGGCTAAAAAGTAGAGATTACTTTGGACATTTTGGACTAATTTGGTTAGTTCAAAAATTCAAGGGACTAAAATTGGTCAAATTGATAGTCGATGACTGAAAGTTGCAATGTCACAGGATTAAAAGTAGAATTAACTTTTTAAACAACTCAAAGGGCAAGCCTGCTAATGCTCTTGTAAAACAATTATTTGGTTGCTTTGTTTTTTAAATGATGCAACAGCCTTTATAATGTTTGCACAACTTAAGAAACACATAATAAAGGTGGGGATGAAAGAATATAAAGTGCACTCACATATGTATTTGTCAAAAACAAAGGAGAATATGGTGATGGGGCAGGAAGGGCACTTTTTAAGAGTGAGAAAGAATGTAGGTGCTAACAAAAACCGTAAAATATGTAAAAGCCAAATGGGAAAAAGAGCTTTCACATATGTATCAATGAATATTCAGCTCAGTAGATAATATAAACTCTCAACCTACTAAGGTTTATGATATTAAAAAAATTAAAAATTAACAATACACACACACATACGCTGATACGCATACACACACACACACAAAAGTGCACGCAACAAAAACACCAACATACACACTAAGATTTAGCGGCATATAGATCTTAAACAAAAGGGCTAACAATTAATCACCTGTTGAAGGTAAAATGAGAGAATAGTTGTGTCATCACTAATACATTGTAAGTTCGAAGAACCCAACAACACCAAACTTTCACATACGCATTCAGCAAACTCAGATTCATTCTCATTAAAATTGGCACCAGCACTAGATTTCTGCAGCAACTCTCTGGAGATGTTCATTAAAATTTGAAAAATATTGCATATTGCAGAGTCAAACTCAGAAGTAGCATCACTAGGTCTTCTCCTGCAAATGAGAATTCACTATGAAACAGCTCATAATATTGTTTCCAAAAACTTGAATCTTCCCGCATAATATATTAATACAACATCCAAACTGCAGCATACCTTGAGGAGACAAGCTTGAAAAACTCACATGCATGGAGACGAAAGTCAGGAGAAGATAGTAAGAAACCGCAGCTGTTTGAGAAAGTGGTCAGAAATAAATCCAATGCTATACACTTCACAAATCATCAGGACAAGAAAATGACTCGGAGGGCATACCCATGAATTATTCCATGTTTTGCCAAATCAGGCAAGGGAGCCCACTCAGCATATGCATTTACAGCATTTAAGGTAGCTGTTATTGTTGTTGCATGTAGTTTAGCCATGTCCAATTGTTGTCTTGCTGCTTCAGCCAGTGCAGCTCCAAAGTGTCTTTCTAGTAACTGATAAGAGGGAAAAGAAAGAATTAATAATGAAACATAAGAATTGAACTTTACTATTAGTTCTAGCAAGCCACTTACAGTGTACAGTAAGGGAAAAATCTCAGGTAAAGATTCTGTAAGCCCACGTAGCAACATCCTACGCCTGTCACCTGAACCAAAAAAAATTAATTAATTAATTAATTAATTATTAATAATAATAGTAATAATAATTATATGTAAAGACTAAATAAATAAAAATTTTAGAAATCAAATCGTTCCTATATAGCACCATACATGAAATGCATATACCATTCCTTCTTCAATTTTCATAACATATAACTATATAAAAAGACATCTTTCAACAAACTGTTCTATTATACTACAACCCTCAACTTTCAACAAGTGTTTATCTGGCCAAACTTATTCTAGGGCTTATCTATTCTTTCTAGAATCTGGGCAAAACACTAGAATTTGAAAAAGACTTTTATTACAAGTAAATAAGAGGAAAATGCCTCTTTTTCAAGAAGCTCCAAGTTTGAGGCCTTAAAAAAAGTAGATAAAAAACTACTTCTCAGGAAACAAAAGCTAGACCAAACAAGCACTAAAAACAACTCAAAACCAACCAACCAACCCTTGTACCAGTGATTCCTAGGCCTCACTCTTGACCTTTATGGAAGTTGGGTAAGAAATTAAAAAACATCAAGATTTATGCTGTACAATTAAACTTCAAGATACATGTAGATGCAAACTGCAATGCTTAACCGAGCATAGGTGGCATTAAAATAGATAAAAACACCTTCTAAATCTTCATTGTGAATAGTAATATCTTCGGGAAGCCACCTTAGCACCATTGAAACCAACTCTGCCTGGCATTGAAAGAAAATTCATCTTTTAAGTGAATCCAAATTTAAGAAAATATGGAACCTAAAGTCCTAAACAAAGCATCAAACTAGGAAAGGAAGAAATTTACATGTATAGGGCCCTTGTCTGAAAAAGATAGTAGTGATGGAAAGAGCTCCTTCCATAAACCTAAGCCTTCCCTCCTTAATATCTGTAGTGTAGTAACATAAAGATACTAGAACTGCAAAAGCACCAAATAAAAACCCTAAAAGACAAGTCAAAAGGGATAAGGGAAAACAACCTCAGCAACTAGAGCAGCAGTCTGGCTTTTCACAGCCCACTCTTCACAAGGATTTGCAATATCTGACATTAAATCAACAGCCACATTTGCAAAATTTCTTCGCTCAGTGGAGTTTAATTCATCCCACCGCAACCGCACTAGATTCTGTGAATAAGAAGAAGACTCAAGGATTGATAGGAAGACAGAGAAATTTAGATGTAGCCATGTAGGTGTATATGAGCTATGCAAATTCAGGTGTTAGATTACTTATTCTTTATTCTTGTAGAAAGATGGAAATATCTATATTTAAGAACAATTTTACCAATTTTAAACAGGGCCAGCTATTTTATTTATAGGAAAATAATAGTTAATTAAAAAGCACCAAGGGGTGCAGCCCCAAGTACATAGAACTGCACATACAAAATAGACCTACTACAAAATTTGAAACCCAATAAAACTTCGTGAAGCAACATCCAAGGGCCCAAAACCTAAAGAGCCAACTAGCCACCCTCAAAAAGACCAATTACTCACATTTCCAGACTTGGCAGCTCACCTCCCTAGCATTTTTCCACTTTGCCACCATGTTTTCAAATTCAGATTCCCAGTTCGAACATGGGCATATTGCATATATTTCTTTGCTGCATCTTTTCTGTTTTCTATCTTTCAAATATAAATTATCACCAATTGGGGGGGAGGACGTGCGTTTCTCTACTCTCCTCTTAACCAAATTCTCAATTGGAACTCTTGCAAATAAATCACATTAGGAGTTGTAATGACATCAACTTATTTTCTTGGGGGATTAAAACAACCAGTAAGAATAAGGAACAACATTATATGAATATTTATCATAATCTGACCTGGAGCATCTTAAACGCTTGTAGTCGGATTGCAGAAGACCAATCTTTCCTCACTAAAATAAATAATGTGCTTGCCAAAACACGTACATCCCCTGCTTTTACCTTGAAATTTGTTGACATGGTACAGTTTGGGTTAGAAATGTTAATGCATAACAAAAGACATATGTCTGGCCCATTTGCTTGTAATTTTATACATTTAGCAACTTTTTATTGATATTTATTTATACAATAAAATCACTTAAGACATTGCAGATTAGAAATCCAGAATAACATTAATAGTTTATACTTGTTTCGCAACCAATGCTTCACATTTTGAATGCCCTGGATCATATCTGATAATCATTATCCAAGCCTCGTACTGAAGCATATACTATCACATGACAACTTACTAGGGCTAAAATGTACCTTTGTTCTCTATGAACCTAAAACTCCACTGAGACTAAAAAGTATACCATAGTACTTAAATTGCATACTTATGATGAAGTTCATAGAGAACAAAAACCATATACCCCCCCCCCCCACCCCACCCCACAAAAAGACCTAAACCCATATGGAACTCTAGATTGACCAAAAGCATATTGCAATATTGCATACCTTCAAATTTGCCATGATCTTACCATATCATAAAGTTCCAAGCTTTGGCTAAAACTTCAATTAAATACTCCCATTTCCAACTCCTATTTGACCAAAGGAATCAAATTAGAAAGAGCACTCCTGGTTTCTCTTTTTCCTTATACACCTAGAAGTCCAGAAACCCTAGATTTTACAAGGAGAGCTTGTACCGATGAAGCATTAAAACCTCACAGAAAAAAAGTAACTAGAATCTTAAATTATTCTAAACAAGCATGGCTTCAGTGTTTCTACACTATGAGCCTAACGCCTTACAAAATCCCTAAAATTCACATAATTAATTTCCCAGGTTCTCATTCTTTCATCAACCTATCTGCGCTAAAGAAATCAAATGTTTAAATTATTATTACTAACTCAAAAAATGAAGTAAAAAAATTTAAGAAAATAATTTAAATATATATACTTACGGATTCGATATAATCATAAGCGGCTTTACGGGCGTCAGGAGAAGAGCTCCAGTCCAAAGCAGCGGCAATGGCGGCAGCCACATTGCTTGCTACTCCACTATCCTCCATCGTTTCGTTCTTGTTGCCTATGGAATCTTGAAGCTCTCACTTTGCCAATCAAGCGATTGTTATGAGAATTCCTTACGCGGTTTTGGAAGTGGATTTTCAGTTTCAGTTTCAGGGTTTCTCCTCGGCCGCAGTTTGGGGGGATGGAGTGCGGAGCAAGGGAGAGAAGGTGGGTGATAGCCTTTTGCTCTGTTTCGTGACTTCCTCTGACTGTTTGCTTTGTGTTACAGACCCGGAGTCGAATCCTCCGCGAACACAACACTTGAAGCGTTTAGTCCAGGTGTTGTTATTTTTTTCATTTTTGGTCCCACGACTATAGTGACACTATTAGGATTGATCCACGATTTTCAAATTTTGCAATTTCGGTCTACGATTATTATTTTTATTGCAAAAATTGTTCTTTCAGCCAATTTTGTCAATTTTTCACCGGAAAAAAAATTATCAATTTCAAACAGGGATAAAATAGATATTTACATTGCTCTTGCGGTCGTAAGTATGAATCTTTCGACTTCGATTCTGGAATGGTACATAACCCATTCTTTTAAGTTTTTGGCGACACCACGGTGGGGGCACAGATCTTGGACTTCTGGTTCCGCGGTTCGGCTAGGTGGAGCGGCGGGTTGTAAAACGCCACGGTCGGGACGATGATCGGATTGGGTCCCACGATTTACAGGGAGATTTTGATAAGTTGTTTTCCGACGGGAAATTCCGGACGGTTACAGCGAAAGACCTCTTGTATTGAGCTGTTGATGTCCGTTTTGACGGCGTTGATTGTTTCATCTCCAGGGAAGAAAACACAACAGAATTTCGTTGGGTTCCGGATGATACCTTGAGGTTGTTGACGCCCTTCACAAACAAAACGACGTCGTCCTCCGTCGTGATAGAGTCGTACGCTAGAAAATTTCACTGGAGTAGATGCGATTGCGAATTTCCCGGGATATAAGTGAAATTTCAGAGAAGACAAGAGAGTCAAAATCGGTTACTTCCTCAGCTTTCCCCGACGAGAGCTTCTCGGATATTCGCACTTAAATGTCTATTTTATCCCTGCTTGAAATGAGGATATTTTTCTTCGGTGAAAAATTGACGGAAAATTGGCCGAAAAGACCATTTTTGCAACAAAAACAATAATTGTGGACCGAAATTGCAATGTTTGAAAGTCGCGGATCAATCCTGATAGTGTCCCTATAGTGGTGGAACCAACAGTGCAAAAAAACTCCATGTGTTACTTTACTTCTTCGAATTGATTTTTTTTTAATAAGGGTTAAATATGTCATTGAACTACATACAAAATTGTAATTGGGTCATCAAATTTAAATAAATTATAATGAAGTCTCTGAACAATGCAATATCACACAATTAAATAAAAGATGACATGTTTATCTGTTAATGACTGACGTGGGCACGTGACAGTTATCGGATTAAAAAATAATTTTTATATTAATAATTTTAAATTAAAATTTAAAATAAAATAAAAGAAAATAATATATATATATATATATATATATATATATATATATATATATATATATATATATATATATATATATATATATATATATTTAAAGAACGGATGATCTCTTCGTATCCGACAGCTTGGAGTTCTTCGTTTCCAAGCTGCCGGAGACGACAAGACCTCCGTCTCCTTCGTCTCTGGCAACTCATCCCCAGAAAATCGAAAGGAAAACCACGGGCCTTTTTGGGCGGTGCCAAGCGTAAAGACTTCACTATTTTGTTGTGTATTGTACATGTGGTATGATTATTTTGTACATGTAGTATTGTGTAGAGATGGAGCTCTTGTCTATCTAGAGTGTTGGAGTCTTCTTTATTGAGAGAAAGAGTCTCCTTTGCATGAGAGTAGAAGAGTGATAGAGTGGAAGAGTGATATGGTAAGAGTGATGTGAGAAGAGTCCTTCCATGTGTGGAGATGAATAATGCGCCCACCTCCTTTGTGCTCTTGAGTCCTCTTTTATAACAACCAAGGGAGTAGTCTTCTTACCGTTAGTGGGTCATCCATGCTTTAATTGGGTTTAAATGTGAGTTTATGGGTAATTAGGTGGGGAGTTATGGATAATAGGAAATAAATAGGTAGTACGTAGGAGGTTAGGAATCGGTAAATTAATAGGTAATGAAAGGATTTAATAATGCGTGATAAATAAAATAACGGCTAGTTAATTTGGATTTTGTGGGTAAGGGGAATAATAATAAGGTAATTATTGGGGGTTAAAGGGGTATTTTTTTGGGGGGTTTATGGAGGGGTTTAAGTGGTCTACTCGGGGCTAGGCAGTTCAACTGGGTTCCGATACTCGGTATCCATCAAGTATGTTTATGAATTTATAATGGTTCTTAATTGATGAATATTGGAAAGGGAGGCAATCAGATACATTATTGATGGGTTATGATGGTGCATGAAGTGGCATGATAATATGATTAAGATGGTAGCTTATTGGCTAATAATATGATAAAAAGGATTTATTAGTGTTAATAAATGATTATAGGTTAATAAAAGGTGATTTAGCTTAGTTGGCAAAGATGTGTTTGACTTTTAGAAAGGTTCAGGGTTTGAGTCATTTTCTGGCTCAACGTAGTTTTAATTGATATGTGAAGGTTTGATTTGGTTCACATGTTATTTTTTGAGTTGAGACTAGGTTTGACTTTGCTTTTGGATTGCTAGCTCAAGAGGTAAGTTTCCATATCCAACAAAGCTATTTTCAATCCAATATGTGATGAATGTTCTACCTGAAAATATGAGCATATTCTTGGTGTATTTCTTGATATATCTCTTGTTCTTGAGTATATTTGGATGTTGTCCTTGAGCTATAATGTCTATTCTTGATTTCCTTTGAGTTATTGATATATTCTAGAGCTGTTAGTATGAATTTCTTGTTGAGTTTTAGCCTTTGTGTCGATGAAATAGCACATTTCTGTTGCATTGATGTATTGCTTCTGTTCACGTACTGGTTCTGATATTCTTTTGGTCGTGCAGGGTTGTCTCGTGGCAAGAGAGACCCGCAAGGCGAGTTGAGGGAGTGCATGGCGACAATCTCTTCCTGTTGCACTTGTCGCCGCCTCTATGCGGTAAAACGTGGCGGGAACTTCTTTCCCGTTAAGCCTGACCGTGAAGTCCGGGGAGTTTGATCCCTGACTTTGGTTTCCAGTGCATTGTTGTTTGGCCTTTGGTGTATTGCTAGTCTTTCTTGGTGTATTGTGAACTCTTTGGCCTCCATTTGAATTGTGATTCTCTTGTGAACCCTTGTTCATTGATATCAATTGATTCTTGAGTAACTTGATGATATATATATACATTTTTATTGGCTATATTGTATTATTATTGTATTATTGGGCTTCTGCCATTTGGATTTGTGGAATTTGGTGAGCTTATGCTCCATTTGGATTGGTGGAAGAAGTTTATGCTTCATTGGATTGGTGGAAGAAGCTTATGCTTCATTTGGATTAGTGGAAGAAGCTTAGGCTTCATTTTGGTGGATAAGGTTGGACTGGTGTACATGGTGGTCTCTTGGTGTAAAGGTTGGAACTGTTATAAGACTGGAAATTGATATTGAATATTGACTATTGTTATATGTATATGTATATACCATTTTGCTGGATATCTATCTTGTTGTTGATTCGGCATTGATTCCTTGAATCCACTTGAGTTGAGTCTATCTCGTTGACTATTGATTGACTCTTGCCTTGTATCTCGAATAGTCTTGGTCTTGAATTTATTCTTGGAATCCTTCTTGAATTGATCTTTGAGTCTTAAATGCTTGGGTACCTTTTGGAAAACATTGTTGAGTTGGTTTGTTGAATATATATTGCAGTTGCAAAACCTATTTTAAATATAAATGTATATCTATAGTTTTACGTGTTAGATTGGAGGTTTGCTTAGCATTCTTTCACTAACTGTTTAAAATGTATTTCAGGTATGGAGTAGATCTTCGTTGAGAGCGCGTTAGCCGAGCTTAGCTCAATGCCTTATAGTATTGCTTCTTTTGTTAGACTTTGGCCTATGAGTCGTTATGATGTAATAAGTAGACTAGTAATTTATCTTCAAATGTATTCTCCAATTTAATCTCCAATTTTAATCTCTTACTAGTTTGGACTAGTAATTTTCCTTCTGCAACTGTTGCATAAAATTCATCTGTATTTTACGTTTCTCATCCTTTCCTTATTTGTGATGAAATATCTTCTGGTTCTTCCCTTCTTGATTTGGCAACTTGAAATCTCATCACATGCTTTATTTAGATTTTGCAACTCCATCCCTTGCTATTTATAACTTCTGAATTTAAGCTCAATGCAAATCTCTTCCCATGAATTGATATTGCTGCCATAGGATGAAATCTCTGCCCAATTTGAATTTCCCATTCACGTGAACTTCTTCCCATTCACATGTGAAACTGCTTCCCAATTCAATTTAGAAACTTCTTCCCAATTGTGAAATCTCTTCCCATCTTTGATTGTGAAACTTCTTCCCTTCTTTTGAAATTGCATCACAATTTCAATTCTGAAACTTCTTCTCTTCTTCAATTTTGAAATTTCTTCCCTTCTTCACACTTTTGCTCAATTTCAAAATCTCTTCCCAATTTTAATTGATTTTGAAACTGCTTCCCAAATCAATTGAAATCTCTTCTCTCACTTGAGATTGCTTCCCATCGCCCAAACTTTATCGGACAAAGTACATGTTAGGTCTCTGTACTGTAGCGTTTTGTTCAATTTAGTCCCTGTACCTTTATTTTGTTCAATTTAATCCATATACTTTAAGATTTAGAACAATTAAGGACAATACTTAACACCGTTAAGTTTGTCCACGTGGGATTCGAATTGTCATGTCAGGTTGTGTGATGTGACATTGCCATGTCAGATTTTGTAATGTGGCATAAAAGAATATAATTTTTGGACAAAATTAGAGTAAGATTTGAATTTGAACTCATAACCTCTTGCCTAAAAGATGAAAACTCTTCCGCCAAGCTACACATTAATCCATTGGATAAAGACCTAGCAAGCTACACATCACAAGGACCTAGCAGGTACTTTGATGGATTTAATTTGGCTTCTTTAAAATTCTCTTGTAAAATATGTGGGATATGAGATTTAAACCTATAACCTTAAGTTTAATATTTCACACTTCAACCATTCCGTCTGTACAATCATTTAGTTATTATTTCGTTTCACTCAATGTACTCTTTTCTTTCCATAGATGCTTGATCTTCAAGATAACTTCATGCAAACTTCAAGTCACGTCCTTCTTT